CACTGACTGTTCCTGCATGGGCTCACTGACGGTTCCTGCATGGGCTCACTGACTGTTCCTGCACGGGCTCACTGACGGTTCCTGCATGGGTTCACTGACTGTTCCTGCATGGGCTCACTGACTGTTCCTGCACGGGCTCACTGACTGTTCCTGCATGGGCTCACAGACTGTTCCTGCATGGGTTCACTGACTGTTCCTGCACGGGCTCACTGACTGTTCCTGCATGGGCTCACAGACTGTTCCTGCATGGGTTCACTGACTGTTCCTGCATGGGCTCACTGACTGTTCCTGCATGGGCTCACTGACGGTTCCTGCACGGGCTCACTGACTGTTCCTGCACGGGGTCACTGACTGTTCCTGCACGGGGTCACTGACTGTTCCTGCACGGGGTCACTGACTGTTCCTGCATGGGGTCACTGACTGTTCCTGCATGGGGTCACTGACTGTTCCTGCATGGGCTCACTGACTGTTCCTGCACGGGCTCACTGACTGTTCCTACATGGGCTCACTGACTGTTCCTACATGGGCTCACAGACTGACTGTTCCTGCACGGGCTCACTGACTGTTCCTGCATGGGCTCACTGACTGTTTCTACATGGGCTCACTGACTGTTCCTGCATGGGCTCACTGACTGTTCCTGCATGGGCTCACTGACTGTTCCTGCATGGGCTCACTGACTGTTCCTGCATGGGCTCACTGACTGTTTCTACATGGGCTCACAGACTGACTGTTCCTGCATGGGTTCACTGACTGGTTGTGTATGCTCGAGCTCACTGTGCATTAGGAGAAAAAGACCCACATACATAATGTCTGTGTATAAACAAAAAGGAAAGAAAAGACATGGGTTTGTAGTGATATATTGTTTGTGATCTAACAAATAAAGCTTGCCTGAAGATCAGAGTGCAGAGCTAGCCATAGGCCTTTAATCCCAGTGCTAGGGAGGTAGAGACAGGAGTGATACGGTTGGGCAGAGAGAGAATTATAAGGCGAGAGGAGACAGGAGCTCAAGGCATTCAGTCTGAGGATTCATAGAGGCAGGATCTTGCCTATTCAGCCTGAGCATTTGGAGAGGTAAGAACTCTAGTGACTGGATGCTGTCTTTCCGATCTCTCAGCTTTCACCCCCTGATATCTGGCTCCGAGTTTTTATTTAATAAGACTAATAAGGATTGCACTACATGGGTTGGGGGATAAAGTAAAAAGGAAATCCTTTCCAACCAGTGAAACTTAGCTGGCATCAACCTAATTAGGGACAGAAGACTGTTCCCTGGAAACTAGAGAAGGCTGAATGAGACAAGCTAGTTTCTACATGAGTGGGTACTGAACAATAAACACAGTCTCCACAATTAACATATAAGGTTTTTCTACAACACCAATCACCATCTCAATAGTATTCCTCTGACCAAATAATTCTTGGAAAAATAATTTTAAGGTTCATCTGAAAAGTCAACAGGCAAGAATAATAAAAGTTTTCGAAAGACTGAGGTAATAAAGGGTCACTAGTTCACATATCAAAGAAAAGACGGAGAGAATAAAACAGTTTGGAACTTGCTTAATGAATATAAAGAGTAGATTATGGAAATAGATATTTTTTAGATATGGAAACAGATATTTTAACACATTAAATGCCTTGTGTTAAAGGAATATGTGCACCAATCATAGGGTGTGGGGAATGGACAGACTGCTTACAATCCAGTGACAGCACTGGGAGAGCTGATTAGGAAGCTGCAGGTAGCATTTTGTACCCTGTACTCACATAGCATGTGAACACAAACTCACTTTCCCTCAGCATCTCGTATCTATAAAGCCTTGCCCTCATTCAAAGCACTAAACAGTGGAGCAACACAGTCAGAGACACTGTTCTGCAATACTTTTATTCTCACGTAAAAAGAAACCGGAGGTCAGAGAATTAAGCAGCAAACATTGGCTCACACTGTCAGCAAGTGATAAGACTTGAAATTTGTGACTCACAGTCTAACTCTAGATGCCACTCTCCACCTTCCCGCCATATTATCCCCGATACATTTTTAATAGTATAATAATCAAAGTAGAAAGCACATGTGTCTACATACAAATGTTTACTATCTGTACTTCTAGGGATAAAGGAAAAGCGTGTGATATAACAGAGCGAAATCTGAGGAAAAATGAATAGCTTTATTACTAATATCTAGATCATGTAAATTTGTAAAAAAAATACTAAGAAGTCAAAAGCAACTAGCTTTGGAGAAATACAAATTAGAACAACAGAATATGACTAAACTGGCAAAAGCATCTTTGTTCTACTGTTTGTTGCTGAGAAAGAAGAACATGTCATGTCTCCAGGAGTCTCTCTAAAAGTCTTAAGGAAGTGATCTGGACATGGGGCATGAGGGGAAGTTATACTGGTGAATGCCTTTTCATTGTGGCCAGAGCAACAGAGGAACCGTAAAGTCAAGCACAAACTCTAATGTGTGTAAGTGAAGGGGCAATGTTTTACAACAGGTCACAAAACCTGAAGACTTCAAGACAAGAAAATTACCGGAACTGTTAAACACTTTGGTAAACAATTGAAAAACTTGTAACACACTGATAAAATCTAGAGAACTAATGAGTGAGCCCATATTTACAAATCAATTAGGAATAACAAATGATGAGGAGAGGGGAAGTGGGTAAAGATATGGATAAAGTTTTCTGAAGGAATATAATGTCTAATAAATATAGGAAAAATAAGTAATGATAATTAAAATGGAAATGACAGTGACAGAGATGAGATTTGAAATATCTAAAGTCAGCCAGAGTTTGAGAAAGAAGTACTCAGGACCAGAGAGATGGGTCAGTGTGAAGATGCTCACTGCCACCAGAGAGATGGGTCAGTGTGTGAAGATGCTCGCTGCCACCAGAGAGATGGGTCAGTGTGTGAAGATGCTCGCTGCCACCAGAGAGATGGGTCAGTGTGTGAAGATGCTCGCTGCCAAGCCTGACTGAGGACTTGAGCTGGATCCATTTGACTGTGTGGCTGAAAATGTTATGTTGAGTAAAGCAAATCTTTCAGTAATTTCAAGAATAATATGTTTAGTCCGTATTAGTTTCCCTTTCCACAATAACACTTGTAAATACTTTGTTGATGTAATATAAGAAGCTTCAGTACTATTTTATGAGTACACTAAGTAACTACATTTTGAAGTTTGCACATCCACAAAGGCACATCTTGCACAGTCTGTTCCAGGCACTTCAGTGTATCTAATGCTCCAGGTTCTCCTCAACAAACTTACTTGTGTTTTTTTTAAACTAATATAACCTAAAGTACCTGCACAAATTCCTAATATCTCCCATTTTGCTTCAACTAGTATTCCTTCTTTGCTTGCCTGTGATTTATGCTTTTATAAAGGTGAGTTTCTAAGAAAAATAAAAATTTGAAAATCTGTCAATGGACAAAAATGGCATTTTTCCTGGGTCTGACTTGTAAAAAGTAGATGAATGGAAATAGCCTGGGCTGAGCCTCTGGAGACGTGGGATGGGGCCCAGTGAGCCCTGGAAGCTGTCACAGACACCTGTGCGCCTCAGCTTCATCATCGTAAGATTTCTCCATCGGAATGGGCCTGAGAAGGAGCCCATGCCTTCCTATTTCAAAAGATACATGCATCCTAAGTGCTGAGTGAGCACACCACATCGTGACCATGCAGTGACAGATGACTAAACAGAGGAAGCTTCTACCTGGTATCATGGGAAATATCCCTGGTCAGTCCTGTACAGGGGAGTCTCCAGCCAGAGCCCAGCTTGCAATCCTCATCATGAAAAGTGTATGGAGGAGTCAGAGCAGCAAATAAAGCAGGAACTGACTCATGTTTGGCATTTAAAGACACACATTACATTTTTCTCTTGGTTTGCTTTTTGCCATTTTTATTATTAACGTTACTTTTATAAAATTTAGTATTTGAAACTTACAAACAGGTAAAAACATCACACACTAAAATTAACAAGACCCAAAGTCTATACAACTGAATGATCTTCTAGACAGAATAGGCATTCTGAACAGAAGCTGTAGACCCTCACATTAGATTTTATATTTTCAGTAACAATTATGTTTTATATACTTATCCATGTTCTCAAGACATTTTACTAGTTAGTTGAATGAAATAATGTGTTTCATATGACATTTACACTCGTATTTATAATGAGTAGCATTTTTCTAAGTCAAATGCTGTCCTTCTGTGGGACAATGGTAAGTGGAAATGATACATAGGAATAGTTAATATTTTTATAACTTTTTATTCAATATGTAAATTAGAAGACACTGAAATAACCAATTCTGTCCACACTGTGCAGTGGCAAGGCTGCACTGCCTTGTACAGTCTGCAGAGCCCCAGGGTGCACACAGGGTCTATTCCTGGACTATGAGAGAAAACCTAGATGCACCACATGACCAAGTGTATGCTGTAAGTACTCTCTCGTTCCACATCAGTGATTTCCTATAATGGGACACTCTCACGAGAATGTCACTATCTTACTTATATTTTGCACAGTAAATAGAGTTTGACATTATTCCACATATAATATTCAAAATAATGTGTTAATGTTTTAAAGTATATTTTTAAATGTACTTGGCTTTAAAGCTTCCATTAAAATACTCTATCCAGAACTCTAGATACTCAATGTTTTTCTCTAAAGTTTAATCACCATATTAAGCTATAAACTTTAATTGTTTAAACTTTCTAGGAGAAAGTTAATTTTCTCATGTGATACAGTAACACAATATATATAAACACTGCTATAAGTTTATATGTGAAATATGACTTAAATAAAAATACTTGCTTCCTTGTCCATCTGTGTTTTTATTGCCCTAATTCTAAAATCAATGGAAATCATCACAAATGGTTTTTATGGTCAGCCTAAGAAAGCAAATACATATTCAACCAACCTTCAGAATAAAAATCAGATTACTTATGATGTAATTTATGTAATCTGCCTTTCTTCAAAAGACAGAATTTGAAGTTAACTTTGACACACAGCCTTCAGTCTTACCCTTTTCCTGGCCACCACAGCAGCTTTGGCACCCGCTTTCGTTCTATCTGCAAAATAATATAATATGTCTACTTTAAAAAAGAACTCAACCTCTTCCTGTTCAAATAGATGCGTGAAAATGAAACTACAATTTTCTACTTTTTCACACATTAGTAACAGGACTGTTTTCAGTGGCCCTCTTAAATAAATACCAATAAATTCACCTCATCAGTCATTCAAAAGCCATAAAGTCAAGAAGAAACTCTTACCTGATTTTATTAGTTAGCATCAAGTCTGCCTAATTTCTGGCTCCTGGTGAGTCTATGTATTCTGGAGTACATAGACTCTAGAACTGAGAGCATGGCATCTCTACTTGCACACCTGTCATCTGCTGGACACTGGATAAGAACATCACATAAACTGTACTGCTTTGTTGAATCTATATAACATGGTAGAGCACGCAGTCCATCTTCCCTGTACAACTGAGGAAACTGATACTCCAGCACGCTGCTGTGGCTGTACTGATAGAGTAGACCCATTTGATTGCAAGCCCCTAGTCTGTCCACGATGTCTGCTGCCTCCATTTGGGACCACTGAGGTACCAACATTGCCTCAGATAAGATTCCACAAGAGTGTGGACATTGGTACCATTTCTCAGACTACCACTGAGACCAGAATCTTTAGTAACCACCTAGCTCATGGAAAATATTCCAGGATATTATTTTGGTACTACAATATAGACATTTGCATATGTTGATAAAACCTGACTATGTGGCCACTGGTAGGTTACCTGTGCCCAGTGGATGGTCCACATGCATTTATGGGCAGCACTAATTGGACACAGTGATGTTGGAAGGAAACTTGTTAAAGGGGGAGATGTTGGGACATACTGGGGTAGTGGAAGGGGAAATAGGGAATGTATGGTCATGTATCATTGTACATATGTATGAAGTTACCAAAGAGTAGTAAGAACGGACAGAAAACAAATGCCCAGGGAAGTGTGTTACTGTATTCATACTTACCACCAGGTTCCACATGTTCAGCGTCCTCTTTCTTTCCTGTATCCCCCTAACACTAAAGATAACCCTCCTTCAAAAAAGAAAAAATCATTTTCCTTCATTCAGGTCCACACAGACTATTCACTATTGCCAGTGATTTCTCCAACTTTGAGAAATCACCACCTCTTTTCTGATATTCTGCATATGTTTAAACATTATGTAAGACTGCAATAGTTGTCAAAGTTAATAATAAAAATTCATATGCAGTGGTTGTTTAATATCGTCCATGACCTTGGTAAACTGTGACTTTGCGCTTCTTTAAATGTGGCAGCTAAAAGTACCTTCTTCCAAAGACAAAAGACAGGCCAGTTTCTGGTCATGTACACAAGGAATTTAAAGGTTGCCTCCACATCTCAAGTTAAGAGCTAAACTGAAAATCCATAATTAGATTCATCAAAGAAGAGTGGTTCTTGGGGCACATTTCTGTTCCCCAATCTGGAGAAACAGATCAATGTAGAGAATTATGATTTACCTGAGCAGAAACACGTGAACCGTATGTTACATGACAACAGTCTAAGGGTAAGAAAAATCTGAACCTTAATTGGCATACCCCTGGAGATTAAATGTGGACAAACCTGTGAAACAAAATCCATCATGGGCAGGGTATGAGATCTGGAAGGTTTCTGTGAGTTCTTCCTCCTGGAGAGCCACCAAGTTCTCATGGGGATGCTGGAGAAAACTCACCCTGACATCTGGCAGATGTTCTTACCGAGATCTGCCCACAAAAGCAGCTATTTTGCTACTGTCCAATGAACTGGAATTTTTTCCGAGCCTCACTCACTGGGGGGAAGTAACTACACAACTGTAGCCCCAGCAGCTGTCCTTTGGCACTTCAGTGCATAAAGAAGAAAAACATGGGGAGGGGCCTTGTCAAGTTCACAGCCTAAAATCAAGACCTAATACTAGGACTAGAGAATGCTCCTCAACCCCGCACCTTAGCACTGTCCAGCTGACTAAAAGCTGAACCTACAGTCTGTTATCCAGTATACCACACCACATTTCAATAAAAATTTATAGGTCAAGCTAAAAGTAAAAAAACTAACAACTTTGAAGAGAGCAAGAAACGGATGGCTAGACAGACAGACAGGCAGGCAGACAGAACCTGTATGGCAGGTGTGGTAGACCTATCAGATGAATAACGTGAACTAATTGTTATTATCATGCTAAGAAACCTAATGTTAAGAGCCAAACAACAGAAAACAGACAGGAGATGTAAAGAAACAGGAAACTTCTGAGAGTGAAAAGACATGCTAAAGGGTGGAAGACGGGGCAGCAGGATGAACAATGTCTTTGTCACCTCATCAGTAAAAGGATGCAGCCTGGTGATGAAGCTCTAGGCTTGAGACTATATTAAGAAAAACTGATCAAAATGAAGGCAGACAAGAAATAAAAAAGGAAAAGAAGGGAGGAAAGAAGGGATGGTGAGAAGAGAGAAGTAAAGAAGGTGACGTGGGCTGGGCATGGTGTTGCACTCACTCCTAAACTCATTTGGAGGCTAAGGCTGGAAGATTGGCATGTAAATAAATAACCAAAGGCCAAAAGACCTGAAAAGACACCAGCAAAGAAAACCAAAGGAGCAAATATGCATGTGACAGTACTGATCACCAGTGATAACAGGACCCACACATGGGATGGTGGCTCCTTGGAGAATGTTAATGTAACGCAATGCTGAGAGTATGCAGAGCAGCAGGGATCCTCAGTCACTGCTAACACAATGTTGGAAATCAGCACATCTCCAACACAGTATTACAACCACACTTCTAAGTGTTTACTAAAGGGAGCTGAAATTTCATGTCTATGCAAAAATGGCATTTATCAGTAATTACTTAGAATTGAAGCAATCCAGAGGTTCCTAGGTAGATGAATGGTGGAAACTGTGATACGGACAGGAGTAGAGCATTACTCTGCACTAAAAAGGAATAAAATACAGACTCATGCAAAGACGAAACAAGTGTATATTACTATAGGAAAGAAGCCGATGCAGAAGGAAGGTTTATTTATGATTCCAATCATGAGACATTCAGAAAAGGCAAAGCTATGGAGACAGTGGCAGGAAAAGTTGCTGAGTATTGGCAGGGAGAAGAGATGAACACTAGGATTTTTAAGGCCATGAAATACTGTCCAAAGTAGGATGATGATAGATGCAGTAGCATGAATAATAAAAACTCAGATCAGATAATGGGGTTCAACCTGAAGATCAGAAAAGCAAAGCAGCCAAGCCACTAGAGAACTCTTACCTCTAAGAAATCCTCAGACTGAAAGAGCACAAGATCCAGTTTCATCTCGCCTTATATTCCACTCTAGTGCTGGGAATAAAAGCATCTGACTCCCTAGGACTTGGACTAAGGTGTGAGCCACGGCCACCTGGATCTGTTTCTGCACTGATCTTGTATGGTCCAGGGTGGTCTTGAACTCATAGAGATCCATCTGCCTCTGTCTCCCAAAGCCTGGTGTGTGCCACAACTGTCTGGCCTCTGGTGGCTTAGTTTTACCTTCTGGTCTTCAGGCAAGCTTTATTTATTGAACATAAGTAAAATATCACTACAGACACATGAGGTTATACCTGTCAAACACAGAGTGTAAACCTAGAGTGGCCCCTCGTGTGCACTATGAACTCTGAGGATAAGTAGGATGAGTCATGTATGTTTACTAACTACAACAAACCCCAGTGTGAGGTCCAGCAGGGAGAGGGGAGTTCTGAGTGGATAGAGGCATATGCAAACTACACGCACACCCAGTTTTTGTGAAACTAAGGCTGCTCTAAACATGGAAGTCTATTTTGCAAAAGCATGAGTAATTATGGGGGAAAGTAGAGATAGGCAAATCCACTCTAGATGTAGAGCACAGGGCTGAGCAGACAGTGGCGAGCACCTAGCAAGGGTGAAGCTTTTGTATTAGATATCCTGCCACACACACACATGCACACATGCACACAGAGAGAATAATCAAGCTTTCAAGCTTCATTAAAAGAATTACTAAGCTGGAGTATTAGTCAAATAAAACAAACAAGAAAAGGGGCAACTAAGGCAGAACCTTAATCTGAGTCCTTTATACATATCATCTAATGGCCATGCCCATTTTAATAAAGAACCCACATCAAAACCAATTGCTGCAGGTCAAAAGAACATGGACTACGTGTTTAAAGTAGTTAGTTCTAGGCTGGAGTATGAAACTGTCAGAAGAAAGCCTCCAAGCTGCCTCTACACTGCTTACCTATAGTGAAATATCTAAATGTTGGCTAACCTTTGAAAACGATTTTTGGATACAATAAGAAGCTAAATACTGTACACAACTCCATGCTGGATGCTAAGCACACTCAGAGGTTAAATCAATCCTTTCAAAGCTGAAACTGCAGGTTTAGAAAAGCAATCCTGTGTTGGTGAGGACATAACCCATAGATACCTCTCTGCCTCCTGCACTGGCTACTTCAAGGACAAAAATGAAGTCCTGAGGTCATGGCTCTCAAAAGTCAGGCTGAATTACATCAAATTCTACATATAAAAGTCATGCGACTTTTAGTCAAAAGACTTTTAGCATTTTTGCTACAGAACCAACCAGAGAATTATTGTTCTTGATGCTCTCTGGACAGGGGAAATGTCAAAGAACAGGAGACGAGCTGCCCAGCATACTGATGACCAAGACAGTCCATACCACCAAGAGAGCAAGTCAGTGCTAGTGGAAAAGACATAATCCCCTTCAGCTAAGTGATTGTATTACTTAGGTAAAATGTTTTAAAGCCTGTTGTGGTTGAACAAAAAGACTGGCTGCACATGGGTAGATCATGTGACAACACAGAGCTGAACCCATGCTGCTAACAAATGTCATTTCAGTATAAAGAAGGAGTCACGTCTGTAGTAGTCAGGGTCTCTTCTGGCCCGAGAGCAACCAGAGCAACACTATTTGCCATTTGTGTTTTTCTCAAATCAAAAGCTTCCCATACAAATTTACCAAGAATATACAGTAAACTTTTCCAATGGATATAAAACTCTTAACTATTGTAGGGCTCAGTTGAAGGTCAGATCTTTCCATGAAGGACCCTGCTTTCAAACTTAAGGTAATAGACACAAGGCTGCGTGGGGTATAAAATTATTGCAATCACTGCACATATATTTGAGTTTATTACAATTATTTCCCAGAACAACCGTAATCTTAAGTGTCCCATGCCAACTGAGCCAGCCATTCAAGTGAGTGAATTTAAAGGCCAAGCATGATAAATCACAACATCTATGATTCAAGAATGTTTCCTGAAAGGACCTGATGTATTGGTGAAAATGCCTGATGTATTTAATATAATATATAACAAAAACACTAGATTAAGCTCGAAAGCATTAAATTATGCTTGTAATAATTTTTTTCTTTTTTTTTTCTTTTTGGTTTTTCGAGACAGTGTTTCTTTGTAGCTTCAGAGCCTGTCCTGGAACTTGCTCTGTAGACCAGGGTGGACTGGAACTCACGGATCCACCTGTCTCTGCCTCCCAAGTGCTGGTATTAAGGGAGTGCACCACCACTACCTCACTTTTAATAAAATTTTTAAAGAAGATTGAGGAGGCTATTGACACCACACTTGGCTGCTCAGCAGAAGTTGATGGTAAGAACCTATGGCAGAAAATGCCACATGCTTTGGTCACAGGACTTAGAGAAATCAAGCTGGTACCAATGTAGAAGATTCCCTCCTTAGGGACAGCTTTTCATAGTACTGTGAGCTGCTAGGCTGTGAGACAAAAGGTACTACCAGTTGGTCCAGTGTGGAGCTGTGAACTCCCCTGGCAAGTTAGACCTATGGGCATAACCACAGCATGGATGTCTTAGGTAATAACCAGCAACCATTGGTTGGATAAGGCCTGCTCAACAGGAAGAAACTCACACCTGGTACAGTAAACCTGGCCAAAAAACTTGCAGGCAGAGAGATCATGGATCCTAGGGGAGAATCAGCTACTGTCATCTTGCTAAGCTGATATAGTATCCAACTGCCTTCTAAACACTTACACCCATAGATTAGTGCAGCTCTCAGTCCTCATCAGAGAATTCCCTTTTTGCAATAGACTGATTTTAACAGAAAGAACACAAATGATGCAAAGAGTAGGTACTGTGGACTCCTTATCCCTACATGTGACCCCTATGTCACAATCCCTCCCTCGAGGCTCTGGGAACATCATGGACAAGGGGGCAGAAAGCTTTTAAGAGGACTGCTACAAAATGGTGTCTTCTGGATGCAACAGGTCACTGTACTCATAAACTCTAAACAGCCTTGAGCCTGCACAAGACTTGCACAAGCTCACCCTAGCATGAACTGGGAAGATCAGGAGACGCCACTCCTAGTTGAGAAGCTAGAGGTATCTGTCAGATGCCAGGAGAGAGAATGGTTTTGCCAGGTGTGGGGTCCCAGATGTGTGAGTCTTGTTCTACCTTGACTAAAGGTCAGAGAGTTTGAGCTTATTTTTACTCTTTCAAAGTTGTTGACAACAGGTGTGGCTATAAACAAGGGATCCTGACCTAGAGTGTTGTTAATTAGTATTTTGAGTGTAGAGGTGGATCCACTCTACTTTGACCAAAGGCCAGAGAATTCAAGTCTATTTCTGTTCCTTCAAGGAGACTGGCAGGAGGTTCCAGAGAGTGGCTGCCTGCAGAAGACTTGGTCTATTCTTTATATCACGTCAATGAAGTCTCCCCTTTTGGAGTGAAGTATATAAACATGTAGAATAAACATGGGCAAATTCAGTACTCACTGAATTTCCCTTCTGATGTTGTTCTGTGCTTCTGTCTTTTATTTCTCTCGTGTCTCTGTTCCTTTTGCTTAGTAATTCTAATCCTCACGCTTCTACCCTGGAATGCATAAACTCCATCAAAAGTGAATAACAACAGATGTCATCCAAACGTGGTGCTTACAACAGTCAGGGACAAAGCCCCGAATAGATTGTTAATGCTACAGTGTACAGTGGACAACCCTAAATTTCTGTGCATGAAAGCAACACTGACTGACTCATAGGTGTGTGTGTATGTGTTGTGTGTGTGTGTATCATGAAGTTGGGGAGGGATGGAAAGGAAGGACCTGGAAGAGTTGGATCAGATGAGTGAGGAGGAACTTTCGTAAGTAAAATGCAGTTATGTGCGAGGGGAAAATAATTTTGATTTTAAAATGTTTGTGAGCCTGTGAGGAGGCTGTCAGTAAAGGAGCTTGTCTTTTGACCTGAGTTGGGTGGATTCCTAGGACCCACCCAACAAAATTAGTTAATTGATCCTAAAGTTGTTCTCTGACCTTCACAAGCACACCATGGTGTGTCCATATAGATAATGGAAATAGAATAAAAACAAATTTTAAATTGTGAGCTATATAGCTCACCCCTGATTTGAATTTATTTTAAAATCAAGTATTTTGAAAACACAGTATTCTCAAAAATAAAACAAAATACAAACTCTAGTACATTCATGTAAAATCATTCTACTAGGAATACATTTTAAATCTATGGTTCCTCAATTTTGAATTATATGCTTTGAAGTAATGGTCTATGCAGTCCGAGAGTAAATAAAATACCGGGAAGAACTAATTACAATACCCACGTTTAAATAAAGTTTAGTCACTGAGAATAATTTTGGAAGACAAAATATTGCTATTAATTCACTTGAAAATTCTTTTACAATAAACAGAAACCACATTTGAAGAAAAGACAGAGATTTCTAAACGTGCATACATACTTTAGCAGGCACACATCCAGGCACTCTGACTGGACAGTAAGAAAGAACTACACATACCCCGTTTGGACAGGCAGCACACGTCTAGTCTTTGCTCAGGAGAACGCCTGTAGAGCTGGTACGCCTCCTCAAGGGCACTTCTATACCACCTCTTTTTATGTGTACATTCTGCAGTCTATATAAATACATAAATGCAGACAATGAGTAACTTTTAACTTTAAATATTAATTTTGTTTTAGAATCTATACTTTAAATACTTGCTGGAACTGAGTTTAATTTGAGCACTGTATAACATTATCACTTAGGCGTTAGTATCTGACTATTATTTCATTTTTTTAAAACTTAGCAGTGCTGTGAGAATCTTGCAAGTTAATAACTATCTCGTTAAGATGACAGGATGCATCTCACATGCTCCCAGGGTAAGCAAGCAGTCAACATGAGCACAGCTGACTGGAGTAACACTAACCTCACTCTATGTGACAGAGAATGATACCAGAGTGGGAGAAATGACAAAACAATATTTGTAGAATAAAAACATCAATTCTATTTGCATTCATTCTGGGCACTGTGGCAGACTCAACACATATACACATTTCCTAAACGTGCTGCACCCAGCCTCTCCATGTATAAAATGTGAGTATGAGCAACCAACACCTGAGTATTCATGAGTATTATCTGAGAAAATAGATGATGGTTTTCTAGAATAATAAGACTTCAGAGTATGCTATTCTAACAAGACACAGCATATTTTCTAGATGCTTAAAAACTGAACAAAATAATCTGAGTTAAAAATATTAGTCATCTAACACAGCAATTTTTCCAAAGATTTTTAATTACTAGGAAGATTTTCATGTCTTTCAGTTCTACAATTGATAAAAATGCACGACACAATTTTTTTGAAAATGCCATTATGGGGACTATAGATATTTATACTATCAATATATATTTAGCACCTATACACAGAGGTCTTAGGCTAGTCTTTGATAAAAGGGATAGTGTAGTATTTGAACATGATTTCCAACCTCTACAGCACCCCCTCTCAACTTACAGAAAGAAACTGTGCACAAAGCCACATCATTTCTGTAGTCCCCAAATTAATATCAACTATCAGCTCCAACTATGCCCAATGCACTCATTTAATGATTTGTTACATTCTGGCATGTGTCATGGCCATCACCACCCATACACAAAGGCCCGTGGAGACAGGGCGCATTGACCTTTGTGACTTGCACAGTCCCTCTGCTCTGACACCTCACTGAGTGCTGTGAACATTCAGAAAAACATTTCTTAACTGTGGTTCTGGGCAACCACTGGTACAGAATTCAAGCAGTAAAAGAAAATATCAAATAAAATATACTTTCACACACATAATATGTAAATTTCATTCATTTACTAAGTTCTCAGTTTTAAAAAGATGAAAGAAAATGTAGGCAATTCATTTTGTTTACTGTACTTTTTAATGTTTACATTTACATATTTTTGTGGTGAACCACAGCACATGTGTGGAAGCTGAAAGACAATGTAAAGGGTCTGGTTCTCCTTGCACCATGTGACATGTGAGTTCTGAGGACCAAATTCAGGTTGTCAGGCTTGGAGACAAGCATCTTTATACATCGAACCATCTTGCTGGCCTTCACACTGCAAATTCTACATTATTACTATCTGGGTGGGCATGGTGACATAAAACTTTTACCCCAGCACTCAGGAGGCAGAGGCAGGTGGATCTCTCTGAGTTCAATGTCAGACTGGTCTCCATAGTGAGTTTTAGGTCAGTTAATGCTACATAGACAGACCTTATCTAGAATATATATGCTAGTTTTTATCGCAGTTATCTCTGCAGCACTGATGTTATCATGACATTGAGAAGTTGTGTAGTGAAGAAAATCTCCTCCTAAAACTGAATAGATGCTCTGCTATTACCTGTATGGAAAGAGCTCACGACTGTTAGCAATAACAACGACAGACAATGAAGAGAAGCAGAAAGCTGTGACATTGTCAGGGCTTCTTTAAGAACTTTTGGTAGATACAGAACACCTTGTGGCTGAACAAATAAACACTTTTGATGGCTCCCAATAGCTGAGCCTCAACTTTAAGAAGAATTTTTAATTCCAGAATTAGAAATTCTGGAAATTTTTTAATAAAATGTGACAACTTCAAGTTCTAGTGATTATGAATGTGCTATTCTTCTCATTCTTGAAATTCTTGCTCACCAAGAACTCAGTACATTAATGCTTTTGCTATTCTTCTACAAGTATAGTATGCATTTACAAGCACTTATTTTACAATGATATCAATAGATATATACTTTCTCAAATTTCTCTCTAATTTGTGCTATTTATCAATTGATTCAACATAATGTAGACCCCTAGAATCTATTAGTGAGTAGACAAAACTCACCGATGGTGTGTTGTATGAAAAAAACACTCCACCACACTGTGTGAGAAAAGAAAAGCCCACCTGGTAGGAGGGAGTAAGGGTGATCACCCATGCGGAGTGGGAGGGCCAGGATGGGTAGAGGAGCTCATTGACATGGTGACTCTTAAACCAAGACCTGAAAGAGGTTTGGGAGTTAGCCTAATCAAAGAAACAAGGTTTCAATAAGTCCTTGTTTCTTACTGCTGAGTAGTACTCTAATATGTATATATTCCATACTTTCTTCATCCATTCTTCCATTGAAGGGCATCTAGGTTGTTTCCAGGTTTTGGCTATCACAAACAATGCTGCTATGAACATCGTAGAGCATATACTTTTGTTGTATGATAAGGCCTCTCTTGGATATATTCCCAAGAGTGGTATTGCTGGGTCCAGGGGTAAGTTGATCCTGAATTTCCTGAGAAACCGCCATACTGCTTTCCAAAGTGGTTGCACAAGTTTGCATTCCCACCAGCAATGGATGAGTGTACCCCTTTCTCCACAACCTCTCCAACAAAGGCTATCATTGGTGTTTTTAATTTTAGTCATTCTGACAGGTGTAAGATGGTATCTTAAAGTTGTCTTGATTTGCATTTACTGGGAACTCACCAAGACCAGCTGGCCTGGGTCTGGAAAAGCCTGGGATAAAACCGGACTCTCTGAACATAGTGGACAATGAGGACTACTGAGAACTCAAGAACAATGGCAATGGGTTTCTGATCCTACTGCACGCACTGGCTTTGTGGGAGCCTAGGCAGTTTGGATGCTCACCTTACTAGACCTGGATGGAGGTGGGGGTTCCTTGGACTTCCCACAGGACAGGGAACCCTAATTGCTTTTCGGGCTGAGGGGGGGGGGGACTTAATTGTGGGAGGGGGAGGGAAATGGGAGGCGGTGGCGGGGAAGAGACAGAAATCTTTAATAAATAAATAAATTTAAAAAAAAAGAAACAAGGTTTCTAGAGGAAACATTTTCTAAGGCAGAATATGGGTATATTCAATATACATCAAAGAGCCCAGGGTGACTGAGAAACAATGATGAAGACAGGGTCATGAAGAAAATTACTCAGGGCCACGCTAGGGAGGGCCATGAAGCCAGTGCAGGTGCTTGGTTAGTGTGCAGAGTGAAACAGGAGCCACCGCAGAGCTCTGATGGAGGTGTTCCTCTGTTTGAATGTCCCCTCCCACTGCAGAGCTCTGATGGAGGTGTTCCTCTGTTTGAACGTCCCCTCCCACTGCAGAGCTCTGATGGAGGTGTTCCTCTGTTTGAATGTCCCCTCCCACTTTTTCCTTTTGAAACAAGGTCTTACAACATACCTCAGGCTGGAGAGAACTTGCTATCTCCTGTATCACTGTGAGCACTGGAATTGCGTGTACTACCATACCTGGCTTTGTTTCATGCCCCCAACAATCATTCTTACTACTTTGATGAGGTCAGGTTATGCGGAGATAAGTGCAGTTGAGGGACAGCTGCTGAGCCAGCTATAGCAACAGCCTAGGCAGGAAACTACAGTCACGTGGACCTGGGAAGTGCTTTTGCGTGTGTGAGCTCTATGATTCCATTACCTGTCAAATTAACTTAGTACCATTAGTAATGAACTGCCTTAACTGTTGGAGCTTTTATCATTTTACCTTGTGTATTTTATGGATCTAATATCATCACTCATGATTCCACTTTCCTACAAATACTAAAATTAGTTTGTATTGCCTTTTAAATTGAGAATATGTTAACATTAAATTGACATCTTCTGAGTTAAATCTTCCACACCAAAAAAAAAAAAAAAGGATTCTCTATGTCCATTTTCTTGGGCTTCTTTTCTATCTTTTTAGTAAGATTTTGAACTTTTACTTAGTCAACTTGATACATTGTTTCTCACACTTATTCCATGGCATTATTATAGGATTTGATGTTATTAAAAATGAGTATCACATTTCTTATTTTCAAACTGGTCACTTTTGTATAGCAATCACACATTAGCTGAGATGAAACTGGATTTCACATTTTTAATACTTTTTCTATTATTTATAAAAGCTTTCGAGAAAATTCCAAATTACTTTTCAAGTCACCTCTTGTACTTCACACACAAGGAGCACAGCTCAGGCCACCAGAAGCTCTCCAGGCCTCAGGCCTCTCTCCCTTAAATTTCCTGGTCCTCTGGTATTAAAATGAAACAGGAAGAAAGCTGAAACAGTTTTTGTTCATCTGCAATTATGGAATGTTGGTACTCTGCAGACTTAAAGAAATTTTCTTTTTCATGGTGTTTTATTTTTCATGCTTTTATTTTTGAGATTAATTAAAATAACTATATCATTTATCTCTTCCCTTTCCTCCCTCCAAACCATCATATGTATCACCTTTGTTCTTTCAAATTCATGTATTTTTATCTTTAATTGTCATGTGTGCGTGTATTTCTAAATATAGAAATATAACCTGCTTAGCACATATAATGTTACTTTTGTGTGTACGTGTGTGTGTGTGTGTGTGTGTGTGTGTGTGTGTATTTCTTCCCTGGGAAAGATTACTTTTCCCACTCTTTGCATTTCTTAGTTGCCTGTAGTTCTTTGTCTATAGTTGAGACCTCATGAAAATTTCCCCCATCGCCCCAACACATTGTTTCCCATGAGCTCCTTGGAGAACAATACTTGGTGGTGATAAGAGGTGAGACAACAGTGGCCCTGGGACCCCAGACCCCTACTCCCTAAAACCTCCATGCAGGAGAAAGGCCAGATGTCCCCCTCCCCAGGTGCCTTCAGCATTCCTAAC